ATTAAATATGCCCAGTGAACTTCAAGAATATTACAAAAAAAGGGAAATATCTCTAATGAAGTGACGAATGCGAATTGTCTTAAATTTCCACGTTTGACGCAGAATCCTCTAAGCTAAAAAAAAAACAAAAAAAAAAACGGTGAGCTTTTTTTCGCATTCGTTCAAAGGCCGGTGAGCTTTTCTCCGCATCTGCCGGTTTTGCGGTGAGCTTTTCTCCGGTGAACTTATCTCCGGTGAGCGTTTCTCCGGTGAGCTTTTCTCCGCCGCCCTGTTGAACCATAAGAAAAGGGGACTAAGCCTGCCTCTGGGATGATTAGAGATAATATAGTAAGGGTGCAGGCGAGCTGGTGAATATTAACCATTTTGAATAAACCTGAGACTGGGGTAGAAATGAACCAGGGATGGGCAAAATACATGCAAATATGTATCGAAATACAAATACAAAATACTTCCTCAAAATTGTATTTAATTACAAATCTAATTACTTTTCCGAAAAAGCATTTAAGTACAAGATACAAATACAACCAAATGTATTTGGTCTCCTCCCTATACTTTTTCCAAATACATTCCTCAAAATTTACGTCAGCGACTTCAGGGCACCTACAACGGGTTTCTGGGTATCTCATTTTAATTTTGCATCGCACACTCGGGAGTTAGTGTGCGAGGCTCTAGTAACGTAATAGAAATATAGTCACAAAAAAATGTAATCAGCTTGGACTTAATAGGTGAAAAAAGTACAGAGCTTCAAGCAGCTTTTTTTGTCGATTACATTTTGGTATAGACCAACAAAGAACCGAGACGAGCAAGACGCGTAGCACCAGCTAGACAACTTTTTATTGTTGCAACTCGCACCAGTTACGAACATTTGGACGACCCGCGCATTTAGAATGTTCCAGGCAAAAATATGGATGGAAATCAGGCTGGAAAGCATCACAAGTTGTCACAGGCACTTATTTAGCCAGTCTGCCTGTGAACGTCGATTTCGTCACTATTCTTGCCCCGGACTAGCACCGTAATCACAAAGTCACTAAATGCTTGTGCTTGATTGATAGACACTGCATTCGGTGTAGAACGTAGTTTTCTTCCTGCTCTGGACAGTGACAATAAATTTGAGGGATGTATTTTCGCCCACAAAATTGTATTTAATTACAATTGTATTTGAAATACCCACGTTTTAGTATTTAAATACACACGTCAAATACATTACCAAATTTGTAATTAAATACAAATACAAAATACATAAAGTATTTGAAATACGTATTTCAAATACTTGTATTTGAAATACTGCTCATCCCTGAAATGAACATATAAGCCGAAGCAACAGGAAGGGACAGGACGACGTCTCAAACTCAGCTACCAGCTTTATTCAATCCGCCTCCTTATGTAGCCCACAATCAGCCACCACCAACACAAAGGGACAACCTCTAAACAGTCCAAACGCCAAACCCTCCTATACACAAAGTAGTACTATGGACGGCCTTCATGCCGATTCCCAAAGATAACCCTACAATGTCCCCCAAAATTTAACAAAAGGATCAGTACCTATTCTACTCTTACCACGGTTCACAAGAAAAACAATGCCCTCTCCAAAAAAAAAAGTTATGTTAGCGATGAAGGAATGACACACACTGAACCTAAAACGGGGCAAAAGTGCACATATCCCAGTTGACCGGCGAAACTTGCTTTCGACGAGTTGCGACTTTTTCCTGTGGCATTGCGCTTCCGTAAAAATGTCCAGGTGTTCTGAATGGCAATTCTCACCGCTTATACAGAGTTAAAAAAAAAGAGACTGATTTGGCGAATGATGATGAACGAGTAGAAAACGTGTCTTCATCACGCTGCTGCCAACCTCTGCAGCGCTAGCAAAAACGCGGTCTCGCCGCATGCAAGATGGCCGTCCGGTGCAGCGGGGCCGCTTTAACGGGAACCAACATCTTAACATCTTTATTCAGCATCAAAACGCGCAAAGAAAGAAATCAAGCCAGATATATCAAAACAGCTGATCTGGGACGCTAGGCCTAGGCCAGTCCCCCCTACGAGAACAAGCATCCGCACAGAGTTTCCGAAGGCGCGTACTTGTGGCAGTTTGCTGCAAACTATACGTCGGTTGAGGCGATCGTCCTCTAAACACCTCTGTGAACTCAAAACCACTCGTACTCATAAAAAAAAAGAAAAGAAAAAGAAAAGACGTTTACCACACCCTGTAGCGCCAAATTAGAGCGCAGCTCTTGAGGAGGAGGAGGGAAGGGTACTGAGGGGAGGGTATACTCCCCCTCCTTCCTCCTCATCCTCCCTACTACTTCTACTCCCTCTTCCTCCTCCTCCTCCCCGCCTCCTTCACCTCCTCCTCCCCTCATCCTTCGAGCTCCTTTCCTCCTCCTCTTCCTCTTCCCCCTCTTCCTCCTCCCCCTCCGCCTCGTTCCTACTCCTCTCAGTTCATGCTATTACGCCGTGGCCGAATGCGCTGCTTGCGTTTTCAGTTATCTGACCCATTCACGAATGTACAATACTCATTCGCACGCGATACACTTTTCTTGGTTCTAGACCAGGGGCGGATCCAAGGAGGAGGGGGAGGGGGGGGGGGGGCGACGGGGGTGGTCGCCCCCCCCCCCCCCCCCCCCCGAAATAAAACCGACTACATACCTGCCAGATGGTAGAAGGCTCGGTACTCAAGGACGAGGGTTCTAGCGTAGGTCGCACCCTAGCAGGCACATTTGTACTCTGAACTTGGCGGACCACTCCGTCGCTTCATCCGAGACTGAAGTCCGCGGCGGCGGTTTCAAAGCACGGCTTGCAGCCAAGAAGGGCGCTGTGGCGCACATCTAGGGGCCGTCGGCGCAGTGTGGTTCTGCGGCGGCTAAAACAAAAGGCGCAACCGGAGCCCCCCCCCCCCCCCCCCTCCCCCCCAATTTTTCCGCCCCCCACAAAACGGAGTTCTGTATCTGCCCCTATTCTAGACATACCGGATATTGTGCGTGTGTACATACGAGAGCCTGTGTTGTCTGTTTGACTTCAATGTCCCCTCTTTTGTTTTCGTAAAATAATAATTCTTTATCTTGATTATTTGCTTCTTAAACATAAAAAAATGAAAGACGTTTACAAATCTCTGTAATGCGAAATTAGAGAGCAGCTCTTGAGGAGGAGGAGGTGGGTACGGAGGAGAGGGGATGCCCCCCCTCCTTTCCTCCCACTAAATTTAGCGGAGGAATTTTCCCGTTACACTTAGCAGGAAAATCTCACTGCCAAATTTAGCGGGGAAATTAACATCACGTGACCTCAAGAACTTCATTTTCCCGCTAAATTTAGCGGGGAAATTTTGCCGCTAAATTTGGCGGGGCGGTATCGCCGACGGCGACGCCGCGAAACCCGGAAACGGAAACAAATTTACAACCATCCTTTCACACGTGTGGGGATCCGTCCGACCGCGCCACCCTGGAGTCCCGTCTTTCCCGCATCTCCCTGCCCCTTCGCCCGTTCTTCCCGCGCCCTGCCAAGGCCGAACCGCCCGTTCCCTGCTCATCCGGATCCTTGGGTGGGGGAGCGCCGCCATACGGCTCGTCATCCCCCCTCGGGGATCGTGCGGGGACCGTGGCAAGGGCGTGCCTGTACACGTGGACGGGTCGTGGTGGGCACGTGATTGGTGGGGAAAGCGGGACAAAGAGGGTCCCTTCTGAACCTGCGGACCGGACAGTGCGTGACGACGACGACGAGGACGAGGACAGGACGCTGACCACCAACGAGTGAGTTTAATAGACCTTTTTCCAGTAAGGAGCGCCTCATGACGGTTTCGCCGCCTACTACAAATGGAGGGCAACCGGACTCGCCTTCTTCCATGGAAACAGATTAGTGTCGCAAGAAAACAGTGCCCCCCAAGAATGGCGAAAGGGTGGTCAAGGTCAAGGGAAAAGGGTGTGCGCGTGCGCAGACGCTTACTGGCACGAGGCACGTCCCGATCGGCAGCGCGAGGCACGTCCCGATCGGGCGTCCATTAGGTAGCGACCCACATAATCTGGCGCCCACGTGGGAGCCCGACCGGTCGGCCGTTGCTTTCTGACTTCTCCCTGAGGGGTCGCGCACTTTGCGTTTCGCGGATTTCGGAGGGTAGCCTGCTCTAATTTGGCGAATTGTGTTCGAGTTGGTAGAAAGCGACAATGGTCGACACCAGGTCGACCACCGGCGCGAGTAAGGACGGTTCGTTGGAGGACGAGCCTGGGTGAGATAGCGCGGAGGCTGCTCCGATTAGCGGAGACTCCTGCTCACGCGCGCCTCCGGAGACTGGGACTTCGCCCCCAGCATCACCAGCGACGGAAGGCGTGCTAGACGCCGGTGAACTGATGCGCGCGATGACGCGGATGATGGACGCGGATGTCGCGGCAGATGGGGACAGCCCCAAGCGTCGCGAGTGCCGCGCCTTTGCCGATACCCCGCCCGCGGTTGAACGTGCCTACGCCGACGTACTCGGGGTACTCTGACGGGAAATCGGTGCTAGATTTTCTGCAGGATTTAGATGCGTACGTAACCGGACAAAGAGGGTCTTTCTCCCTCGTGTGAATGCCCCTTAAAGGGTATTCACACGAGAAAGAAATCCCGGGGATTTCTCCACGGCACGCGCATCCCTCGACGAAAACGTCAGGCTTTGAGATGTGCAAAAGCCTCGCGTTTTCGTCTCGTGATGCGCGCGTGCCGGGGAGGAATCCCCGGGATTTCTCCCTCGTGTGAATACACCTTACAAAGAAATGAGTGCGAAGTGATAACCACTACCATTGCGCACTCTACAGGCTTTACCATGGACAGCCGAAACCGAAACTACGCGCGCCGTTTTGAAGCCGCCATAACAGCCGAAATTATTCTTACTTCCTGGTATACTAAGTAAACATATACAAACATCTTAAATAATAATCTTTGCAACTGTAACGTCTCGGCTGAGCCTTCGCCTAAAGAAGTTTCGAAGTTTGACAGATGGTTGAAAAACGAATCGTACGCGAGCGTGATCTGGCAACGTTCCAAATATGAAATCGGGAACCGAATCTTGCCGAAATCCCGGTTTCTCGGTCGCCTCGCGTTAAGATCCACTCGTAAAACTGGACGGTGATCTCGATCCGCCGCAGCAGGAGCTCTTCGCCCGCGGCAAAACAGGCACAGTGGTGCATTGGACGCGATGACGTCGCTGCGCCCTAGTCTCTTCTAGCGGGTCCGTGCGCCGTCCGTGCGCGCTTCGCGCCGCTTCCCAGTGCCAAGCCCCGCAGAGAAGACGTCGGTGAGTTCGAGGCCGCGTATAGGCCTAGCCTTTCCATTTCACCCCCGCTACTCTCAGTTCGTGCTCAGTGTCAAGCTTTCTTGCCAGTAACGTAGCGTAGAAGATTTGGCGCCGGGCCCCCCTTGCGAACGTGGTGTCAGGCAGTCAGGATTGGATTGGATTTGACACGGTCCTATCGCACGTATCGCCTGAGCGACCAATTACCTGTCCGTGCGCGTACGCGCTACACCTTGTCTGCTGGTTTCTTTTTCCCACTCCCTTCGCGGCCATCCCCGATTTCGCACGCCGCCGGGTTTTTGTAGAGGTGCTTGGTGATTTTGCGTGCCGACGCTTTGCGGCTCGGTCGGTGTCCGCGACGATGTTGTCGCCGTGAACGGATGACACGATCGGTAATTGTCCTCGCATCTGGCGGCTTGCCGGAAACGAGCTGGTTTATATGCGCTACTTTTCTGCGCCGACGCCGCAACTGCAGCGATGGACAACTTAGGAAGGGCCGTATTTGACGGTCTATAGAAAAGGAGAGACTGAAGCTGAACGAGTCCCGTTGCGACCGAGCGTCTTGCCTGTTATGTAACAACATACGCGGATATTTCTGGTGGTCGTATTCGCGTTCTCGGGAACCAACTCTCTTGTTTGGACGTTTCCTCCCAATCTCTATGGTCGTGCACCGTTGTGCACACCTAAATATTTCGAGTTAATTCGAGCTTCGATGCCGCGTCGCTGGAAAGGCGGGTGTAGGCTCCCTATCTACACGTTTAATACCCTTTTCCACCATCAACCACCAGAGATATGGGGAAAACTGCTGCATTAACAGGCTCAGCTATTTTAATTTGACACGAGAAGGATAAATTGAAAAGAGGTTTACAACGAAAAGGTTCATGCTGGCATTTGAGGCACCCATAGTTAAGATATTTTCCTAAAAAACAAAAACAAGCTTTAATAAAGGAAGTGTCTACTGAAACATAAATATATCTAAGTAATATCCTTTCTATGCCTGGGTAGAGCTCACCATTAAACTGCGATTTCATGAGTGAAAAACGGGCTGCCGCCAAGCAGAATTTGTGGCGACCAGTTCAGCGTCCCACTTTACCGCAAGCTTCATCTGGTTTGCCTTGAGCTTCATCTGGTTTGCGTTTCCCGCATCACCTCTAACCCAGGTGTCCTTCGGCCGTGCGATGGGCGATCCGGCACCTCGCGGCACCCTGGTGCGCTCCAAGAGTCTGCGCCTGCCCCCTCCGGGGGCGGAACCGCAGGAAGGGGGCAGTCCCTTGCGCAGGCACGGCAGCCTGCGCTTGGTACGAGCCCCGCCCCCTCCGGGCATGAGCACCTCTCTGCACAGCATGCTTCCCCGCAAGGCCCCCGGTCACCGGCCCAGGGGTGCAGCACCGGCCACAGAGCAGCCGTGGAAGGAGCACTTCAAGAGGCTGGTCCAGGAGCACGACAGGCTGCAGGTGGGGCCACCGACAGGCGTCCCCTTCGAACGTCCAAAGGGGTTCCGCGAGACGATTCTTTCATTTGGGCTAACTATGTAGTCTGCTGCAGACCAAGAAAAGCGGAACAAACTCCTCCCACAAAGCCCTCCACTCTTTTCACTTTGGCAGAACGAACGCTGGAGGGATAATGAGGAGACTACTCGTCATGGCGATTGGAGATCTTCGTGGGAGAAGCCTGTTCTGCGTTTTTTCGCCTGCAACAAACAATATAGTGCTCAAAATGAACACTCTACATTTGTAATGCGAGCCAGCCTTAGCTTTTGTTTACATGCACTGGTGCTTGCAAATAGTGTTCTTGTGAGTGGCATATTCTTTTCTCTTATCGTCTGCCCCCTTTCCCCCCCCCCGACTGCTTGGCCCCACCCCTTAAAAAGACACTTAAATTAAGAAAAGAAAATGTTTTTAAAAGGCCTAAAGGGGGACACATTTCCTTTGTTTTAATGTTCCTTAAAAAAAAAAAAAAAAAAAAAAAGGTTTTGCAGAATATTTTTTTATAAACAATTTAGGTGGGGGTCATGGTCGTCTCTAAGCCCCACCTTCAGATCAGTGACCCCACCCTTTACTACTGGATTGGCTTGGCTACTCGGCTAAACACGCTCGCAAGCCTAGTGTCTTCCTGTCGCTACGTCCAGTGCGTCTAGCCCAGTGTTGCGGAGTTGCCACTCCAGAGTTGGAATGATTCCGGAATCATTCCACATTTTGCGACCCCGGATTGGAATGGGGAACGGAATGGTGGCAACGTTGAGGGGAATAGAATGGAATTAGATTCCTTTTCCCCGGAATGAAATGGACCCGGTTCTTTATATTTTCTTTTATTTATTTATTATTATTATATTTTTTTTGGGGGGGGATGGTGGGGGAAAGGGTTGGGGGGGGTTACCTTCAGCTATACCGAGCCAGTCAGCGAGTCAGAAATAAAATTAATATAAAAGACAAGCGTCAAAGCATAGACCAGAGGAGGGAAGGGGGGCGGGGGGGGTGGTGCCTTTCACGGATGCGCTTGCGTCGGGCTTCACTGGTGTTACACGAGAGCGAAACAAGAAACCAAGCACTAAGCAAGAGAGACGAAGGGTGCGGCAAAGAAAGAAACAGCCATGCAAGGCTCCTCATCGTGCTTCTTTGCTTCTTGTCTTGCTTTTTATATATATATATATATGTATGTATGTAACGGGATGGAGGAAACATGCGCGCACAAAGACAGGTGTGGGAGCGGGGGCGGCTCCTAACTCGCTGAGCTCTGATTACTCGTTGACTCACCCGTTATCGAAAGAGGATCAGTTATTGTTTTCTTATAGTTTGAGGAGCGTCGTTTAGCAGGTGGCCAACCCTGCTGCAGTCCATGTTTATTTGTGCGCACTCCTTTGAAATGCGAAATCTGGGTTTGCTTTGGCATTAAAACAAAGCGAGATTCACTTCTCTCTTCTCCTCTTGCGCATTGCTCCGACGCTTGTTTTTTTATACTGCATTTTTATGTGTAGGCTCGCCTTTTACTCTCTCTTCGTTCCGATGCTTGTTTTCTGTGTTATATGCTTTACATTCAGGTAGGTTAGGGTTACAAGCAAGCTAGCGGATTCCCGCTCATTTTCTTCGACTTTAGTCTGCATACTTTGTTTCACCTTGCGATGGACCGCTGCAGACGCTACGTGTCACCCCAGATAATTCAGCACCGTGAGCTTAGTGAAATCGGTGCTTTTTTGAGGCATTTAGCATTTTTTTGCAATTGTTTATGCATTTGATAATGTCAGCTTTCAGCGGCTTATGCCGGCAGCACAACAGGGTTGGGCAGTATCGCATTTCAGCAATGCATTTCGTATCTGTATTTCTGTATCGCAATACATTTTTTCACCTGTATCTCTATTCCTGTATCAAATACATGTGGAATATTTCTTTTTATCGTGATACAATCAGAATAAAATGTATTTCGTTACATTTCTTGAGAAATACCTCCCCCCCCTCCCCCCCCCAACCCGGGAAAACAAAATACAAATCCAAACGCCTTTTTTTTTTTTTTTTTTTTTTTTTTTTTTTTTTTTTTTTATGGGCATTAGGGTTAAGGAGATGTTGGTGCATTTTTACTGTTCTGAGCAAGGTTCCTTCCGATTTTCCATATTATTTTTTTCTAATGAGAAATGTTGCGTCGTTTGGACTGGAAACAGGTAGCATGCCAGGAGTTGAGTCGGAGCATCTTCTACCACAGGTCCTTCAGTAGGGACTTCATGAATCATTGTTTATTGGCATCCAATGCCTGCTCCTAGTTAGTCAGAGCCTTGAGAAACAGGAAATCGAAAATCAAAGGAAGTGTTGCTTGGCCTGTGGCTGAGTATCTGAGTCACAGTCTGTTGCAACACAAGTCTGGCGGTGGTTGACATGAAATAGTAGGATGACTGACGCAGTGAAATTCAACACATATCCAAATGCGTCTGCACCTGTAATATTGCACTGCTCAAGGGTATTTCATCAGTCCACGGGAACGTGACCCGCTGCTCTGGTGATCCGATAACCAGGAAGGAGGCCAGACTTGGCCTCGCTGTGCTGACCCAGACTTTGTGCACCTGCGACTCGTCTCGAGCGCACTGCTTCTCAGAGAGCTTGCACCTGTGCCGGCCATTTCAGGTCGCGATCCACCAGTTCTCTCTTTGGATGATGCTAGGCGAAACTTGAGGACTACCATTCATGCGTTGGAGGCGGAGGGTCGGCAGGAAGGACCGTCACAACAGGGATGCCACCGCATAGATTTTTCAGCTGTAACAGAAGATCAGACATTTGCGCCAGGATGCTTCAGCTGGTCCACTATTCTCGAAAATTCCAAATGCATGCTCTTCAACGACGTCACCTACAACGAAAGTACATATTGTCCTTTCATACAGCAGCGTGGGCAAAGTTTCATGTCCAAGGCAACACCTACATATACAAGAATACTAGTTCATTCCATTGTGACGTCGTGGGATCAGTGTTGACAGGGGCGCCGTTATTGGACAGGGGAGTGGTGATGTTATGATGAGATGTATTTAGAGGTCGAAGTCTTTTCACACCACTCGTCAGACAGACAGGACGCCAGTGAAGGGACCGCGGTCAATCCTTGATGGAACGTTTTTTTGAACCCATTGGAGACTCCTCTCGTCCGGAACCACTACCTTCAAGGCGAAGTGCCAAGCCTGCAGGATAGTAATTTTGTGATAAAAAACTTCCACTTCATACTTAAAGCTTCATCTCAGTTGGCGTCTCAAAGAAATTTGAAAAAATGTATTGCATTATCAGTATTTGTATTTCTGCCCTCCCTAAAATGTATTCCTGTATTTGTATTTCCATAGACTTGTAGCCTCTTTTTAAAATGTATTTTCGATACTTGTCACAATGCATTTTTACAGATATATTTGAGTATCAGTATTTTAGCTACTATTTTCATCTGTCCCAGTATTTGTATTTCTAAATACATTTTTGAGTATCCCTGCCCAACCCTGCAACACAATGTAGCTGTCAAGTGCCTTTTTTACATTTAGACAGGAACGGAATAGAACGATTCAGCTATTCCAGGAGTGGGAATGGACCCAGTGTCCCCATTCCTAGGAGTTGAAAGATATTGAATTATCCCCAGAATGGAATTGGAATGGAATGGGGGTGCCCATTCCGCAACACTGGTCTAACCTGGCATCTGACACCGCCTGTTAGTCGTACGAGCAGACGCACGACAGCCTCCGGCGTTGCCTGCTGTTCCACCACCGTCTATTGTCATCTGCTATGCCTGTAAGACGCGGCCATAAAAGCGGCGTTCTAGCGTTCCATCATGCACGAGCCACGGTCCAATACAAGCATCTATCAGGGTTTGTCGATAGGCAGTAGAAAGCGAATGAAAGGATTTAAATAAAGTCAGCACTATAACCATCCAGTGTTTTCAGCTTTTATGTTCTTTTTTCTTGCATGACGTCCACGAGCAAGGCGGGCGAGCGTTGTAATGCACAATTAAAACACAATGTGAAATATTCGCTTTGGCAGACCAGGTGCACTGCAAAACTTGAGGGCTATTTGTGTTTCGCAGCAAAATTATGGGAACGTACCTGGACAAACTTAATTTGAGGCAAACGTTCGATTGCCTCCAGTCAAATGACTCGCAAATTCTTACCTGTGTAAGAATTTACAGAGGTAAGAATTTAAACCCTGGTCGCAATCATGATGTTATGAAAACCAACATCTTTATTCAGCATCAAGAGATGCAAACGAACCAATCATTTCAGATCAAGCAAAGTAGTTGACGTAGGCTTAGGACAGTCCCGCTACGAAAACAAGCACCTGCTCAGCGCTTTCAAAAGCGCATACTTGCGACAGTTGTTTGCTGCAAACTGTGTTAGTTGAGGAGATCTTAAACACCTAGGCGAAAGCCAAACGACTCGCACTGATAAAAATAGACGAGCTAAACGAAATGCCGGGACCCATGTTTGTTATTGTTTCAAACCAAAGTGGGAAAGGCAATCTCAGGATACTATTGAAAATAAATAATGACTCTATCTAGGTTGTTTGTTTGCCAAACAAAAACAATTGTAGGTCAAAATACTACTACAGCATGGAGATACAAATTTACAACCATAATTTCATATGTCAGTCATCTCTACAGCCATGAGAGACGTATGCATAGGACGGGGCTTAGCGGGCTGTGGCCTTCCACCTAAAATGCGTCCAGCAACTTAAATATTGTTAAAAAAGTTGTTTTTCTTTGCGGTAAAGTTTTTAAACAAATTATCTGTCCCAGTTAGGCCCTCTACAAAACATTGCTTTTTTAAATTTCAGTGTCCTTTTAAAGGGACACTGACAGGGTATTTATGCTCGCCGAGGTTTTTAGTTGTACATGACATATGAGAGCCCAACTACCCAGAACACAATTTACGGCTCGAAATTCGGTTTCTTTCTGCCCGAAAACCGGCGATCAAGAACTGGCCGGTTCGAGTCTCGCTCACGGGCCGTTTTCTAAGGTTTCGACGCAACCACCAAATTTAATCAAAGTCGTTGGTCACTGAAGGCACACACTCAATATTAAAAATATAAAAAAATATGAAAACAATTTTTATGGCTTCTAAAAAGCTGCAAATACGTTGATTGAAAAAAAAAAAGTTGCACAGAGAACCGGAAGCATTCTGGGCGTGCGTCGTTTCGCCTATCGTGGGACTCGCGGGGACGGCGGGCGTGGGACCTCTACTTCAGAACTGTAGTTCGCGCTACCGGCGAATTCTGTCTGCCTTTAAAAGAGAAATTTGGGACTGATCAAAGGAATTGGTATTTATCCCGGACGACACGCCCGACCACCAAGCCGAGTTTCACAAAGTCGTCGCCGAGCCGTCGCTCCCTTGTCGTGGCTGAAGACATTGCTCGCGTAAACGTCAAGCACCGTACGAAGTGTATACTTCAAGTTGAATATTTCGTACGATTTCTTTACTAGGTGCGAATGTCGCCAATGCATGGTGCTGTGACTTCGACCCGGGAGTGCTTTTGCTGGAGGAAAATCGGCAGCAGACTTTCCAACTTGCAGTTTACTGGCTGTATTATTTCTGGGAAGAGAGTTCCCCAGTAGCTCAGTGGAAAGACTTCCGATTTACAAGCGGCAGGGCCGGGTTCGATCCCCAGTGAAGCCATACTTTTTTTCTTTTTTTTTCTCTTTTTCAGACATTTTGCGATGTTTTCATTTCTTTTTTTTTAGTTCTCACTGAAGAAACAAACAAAAAAATAACAAACAAATGTTGTGGACGAAATGTTGCTGAACTAAATGGTATGGGATTTCCTTTTTGGCACCTGCGAACTTAATGTAGTTAGTCACTTCCACAAAATGCAAGGAGCATATAAATCAGGTAGCGTCCGCTTTCCGAGGTGCCCGTAAATGTTCTGCGGAAATTGCAGCCAGCCATTGGTCCCGATCCCGTTGATCTTTCGGAAACTCTGTCGCACAATGCCACTTTTTTTCAGACGCAGGACACATGAGCCAGCTCTTCACGCAACATCTTAAGTGTATTCTTTTCGGAGCCGATCACGGAAATTCATCACAGGCACTCACTACTCATCTCCAACTCCTCAACGTACAAAACAACTCATCTTGAAGTAAAGAACAGCGAGTGGAACAAACATAACTGGAAAATAATCGCACGGCAAACTGTTCCCGCTACGCTGCCATTCATGTCGTCTGCTACGCAGAGGGGGAAAGAAAAAAAGCCCACGGTCAGGTGTAGCCACGTGACTTCCGCCGCTCACCCTCTCCTCTCCACTTCTCCGACTTTCGTGCGCTGGTTACGGTTTTGGTTTCGAGCAGTTGCGTCTTTTGGCTTTATTAAAAATATATGCTTCTCTGTTGCAAAATATTAATTAGGTAGTCCTCCGACACCATAATAAAGCGCCTGGAAAAAAAAAATGAAAAAAAATTTTGGGGGGGTGTCAGTGTCCTTTTAGTGAAAGAAATGAGGAAGGGATTATCTTGGGGTGACAGATAATCTGCCCAGTCATGCTTGCAGGAGGTCGGGGACAAAGGGGCACTAAGCCTTGGAAATAACGGAACAGGTAAAGAGAAAAAGAAACGGCACCACCAATAGTGCCACATCTGCACAAGATGCAGCACCAAAAGACAGATGGGGGGGGTCCTGTGTTCTGACAAGGTGCAAAAGAAAAAAATGTTTTCTAAATCTTTCTTTTTTTTTTTTTTTAATTTTTGAGTTTGGGTGCTTTTTAATGATCTCATCACATATCTTTCTTCTTTTGCTGGTGACTTCGTCAACCATGGTGCTGAACACCCCCTTGACTGACACATTTGAAGGAAGTTTGGTGTTGCACATCACATATACCTTGCGCGCCACATCGTGGCTGCTTAAAATAAGGCACTGCTGCTGTAAGGAGCAAAGTGTTTCATTGTTGGTTGGCCTCACTCCAGGCTGAGAAATTCCAATTAAATCATCCATATACGATTTCTAAAAAAAAAAAAATTTAAGGCATTGTGCAAATTTGCATGTGCTGCATAACCATAGTACCAATGGTCTTGCTTGTTTGTCGGTAACCAGTAAGGTTCTTACTGCCGCTTGTTACCCTTTTTATACCAAATTGAGCAGACCTGATGAGTCCTTCTATGTTTAATCAAGCACAGAGTACAGAAGCGCAGATACAGGGGCAGTTCACACAGACCTTGGGTGTCGGGCGCCTAGAGGGATGGGAAAATGTTAAATATGCCACGATGAGTTAATAATAAATTTTTTAGGATGTTATCATCCCGGAGCACGCTCTAGAAGGGTTCGTAAAAATTGGCATCTGCACGTAGCAATCTCAAACTTTTATCAAAGGTATATCTTGGTGGTGGACTTTATCGGGGGAAATTTGAAAGTGTAGCGGTCTTTGTGCAAAAAAACGAGACTGACACCCTGGCCACGGGGGACATCAATACAGACAACCGAGTTAGCAAGAGTTGCACTTGTGACCATCTGTCAACGGGCACGGTGAGCAGACAGTGCCCTTATTTGAAAGCAAACGACGCTGTTATCTGCTCGCCATGCTTTTCGGGAGCTGGCATCACAGGCATAAGCCTTGCTAACTCAGTTGTCTGCATTCTCATCTGCCATCAACTGTGACAAGGGCATGGGTCCTCCTCAATGTTAGAGGCTATTGACTTGATTGATAAAGATACAGTAAAACCTCGTTAATTTGGATCTCATGGGACCGGCAAAAAAGTTTGAATTATCAGAAAATCCAAATATCGAAAGGACAAAGAAAACTACGCGAGAACATTTCTCTGTGACATACCTTTAATTTGAGAAGAAATTTGTTATTGCCGCCTGCTTTCTGTTCGACATTTGGGCGGGGACGACAAGTTTCCTTAGCACGGTCAGGTGCTCCACCGCACTTCAAAGCTACGCATCCCGTGCGCTGACGATTTACCACAGCAAGGCCTCTTCTAGTTTCGGGTGCACCACCTACCACAGCCGCTTTCTTTTCGCGTTGAACTTCTCGCTCTCAAAAGCCTGTCGGATCTCGGCCTCAATTTTCACGTACGTGGCCAAAGTGCTTCTCTTGACGTTGTAACTTTCCATCACTTGTTGTCGAGAGACGCCGACCTTCAAGGCCCTCAGTATTTCCACTTTCGTCGCTAAATTCTTTTCCTGGTACAGCTGCAACGGAAAACGAGTAGCACAACTGACCGAGGATCGGAGCGGCAAAATAGCGACACCCGGCGCTATTTTTCCCGAGCGCGCTGATAGCGAGAGTGCCAGTCACGTTCCATGTTTCAACGGGGGGGTAGATAGCTGTTAAAATGCGGGCTATAGGATGGGCTATTTTCTGCCGGCCACCCCGCGTTGAGGCATGAAACGTGACTGTCACTCTCGCTATCGGCACGCTCGGGAACAATAGCACCGCGTGCCGCAATTTTGCTGCTCCGGTCGTCAGTCACTTGTGCGACTCTTTTTCCGTTGCAGCCATGCTTCTGAGAGTAGCGCGCCGACGCACGGCGATCCAGAACAAAACTGTTGCGAAGCGAAACGCGGAGAACCGGAAGAGCGAAGAACCATGGGAAACCGAAAAAACCATGTGTGCACCTCGGATGGATGGCGGTCATAGCCTTTGGAACGGACGGTAGCTAGCGCCACCTGCCGAATTCATCCAAAATTATGCTTAGCGCGGCGCATTCCCTCCAAATTAATCAGCGTTTGGTGCCATTGACTAATACACACGTTTGACGGGACCAGATCGGCAGTTCAAATTATCCGAATTTCCGAATGAGCGGGGGTTGAATTAACGAGGTTCTACTGTAGTACATGTAAAAAACGAATAAAAGGCCATGTTCGTTCGGAACCCACTGTAATTCCCAGCAGTAGGACAATTTCTCCGACAAAGAGTCTCCAAGGCATTCGACCTTTGGTTACGTCGCAGAATGACCGTCTCTCCCGGGTATGTGCTCTTGCCACCCGCAGGTGAAGTACAGCCAGCTTCGAGCGCGTCTGCTCAGCCAGGGGGGCAAGGGTTCCCTGGGGGCTCCAACGAGCGGAGGGGGACCCGGGGACCTGGCGCCGATCCCCGAAGACGACTCCCCCGACGGAGAGCTTCCCCCTGCTGCTCTGCATGCCAGGGACGACTTACAGCTGCAGGGGCAGCTGCGGTCAGCGCAGAGGGCCTACTGGGACCTGGTGAGCAGCCCGACCTGCTCATTTGTGCCGGCCAAGCTGCGGCGATGTTAAAGCCCCTCATTCTGTTGTCATTTGTCTTACGAGTAGCATCGAATGCACCAATGCACGAGACCTGTGCCCTGTGCAGTCTTCAAAAGTAACTGGCACCACAGCACGAAAACAAGTGACCCTTGGAAGCAAATTGTTGTGCAGCACTCCCTCAAGGCACGAGTTCCGCACATCCGCGCGACAACGGTTGATGGTACTCGTAATAAACATGAGCTTGACTTTCATCGGGGACTTTTGGTGAAGCTTGGAGAGGGTGCCACCTGGGAACGAAGTTGGCTTCCTGATAGTGCTACGAGCAAAATTCAGTAATGGTAGTGACGCTCATTGTCCTAGGACTAAATGCATTGCGTCTGCCGGCCAATGCGTCAAAAGTTTTACAATGAGAGCCCACATGTCCAATTTTTCTCTCATCGTCCTATACACGGAACTTGCAACGGGAGCTTGGCAAACGGCAAAAGAGATGTAATGTTTTTATGAAGAAAAAAAAGTGAACTTCTCCTGAATGGCGGGCATCTGATGTCGACTCGCTTGGAACCTCGGCGCAGATCGCATTCTTCAGCCGGAGTGTTATTGGCGCCCAGGCCCAAAAGTCGGAACGTATTTCAGGTGCTTGGGGCAGAGCCGAGCCAGGACCCCGCGGCACTGGTCCTTTCTCTCCTCGACCAGCTGGACTCCACGCAGGCCGGTGGGTGCCTTTTTCTTTTTTGCTTCGTCCATTTATTACGACCTCTATGGCTGGCGACGGGTTAATAATTCGGCAGAAGCTCCGCCTCCAGCACCCGCTTGTTGCCTTCCGCTGGACTCTGGCTGCACGTGCAACGGGGCATTATTAAAAGCAGAAAGCTCGCACCGGAGGCAGAACATCTGTTGTTTTTATGCTGTCATCGGCCATAGCGACTGGGCTCCGGTGCCACTCGAGGTAGACGAGTGTTCCTCGAGATCACAACATTTGAGAGCTTGAGTGAATGCCGTCACTGACAAGGTGAGAACGGCAAGGAGGAACTTCAGTTGTCTCACCTCCAACGCAAGCATTCTACCTTTGGCGATGCTTTGGTATATCGTGCACTTCGAGTGCTTGTGTATGACCAAGACACGGCAGAAGGCGTGAATTGTGATCCGGAGGCCGGTCGTTCGGAAGACATTCCCTGCCCTTCTCATTTTGTCGGTGACCGTAGTGGCTCTTTCCGCGGCTGACCGGGTAGTCTCGCACCTGTCACAGAGCTGAGCTCGCTGCGTGGTCGGGTGGACAGCCTCCGGGAAGCGCTGCGCCAGCGTGAACAGGAGGTGGCCAGCTGCAGGGATGCCCTCCATGACTACCAGCTGGAGATGGAGGAGCAGCGGGCCTCCCAGCAGGCCATCAGAGCCAGGATGTGCGACCTGCAGGTACCGCCACACTAAGGTGGGGGGGGGGGAGGGGTGGAGGGAATAGGAGGAGGAGGGAGGGAGGGAGGGAGGGAGGGAAAGCCTGTCTTGACATGTCAGAGCACACACTGCTCAGCTCACTGCGGAGGGTGGTGACGGCAGCTCCAAGAAAAGGAGGTCGTTTTGGGCAAAGTAAAAGATATCTTTGCAGTAAAGACTGATATACTGATTTCTCTACACACCTGGGAGGAGTGTACACACCCCCCCCCCCCTTGTTTTAGAGCGCAGCTCTTAGGGGCCCGTTTCCGGCTTGAGCGGCGTCGCCGTCGGCGTAACTGCGAGGTCACGTGACCCCCCGAGGTCACGTGACCCCCCGAGGTCACGTGACCCCCCCAGGTCACGTGACCCTCCTCTCCAAAGTCACGTGACACACCCCGAGGTCACGTGACCACCCCGATGATGTCATTGTCACTGATGACGTCACCGGCATCCGCATCGTCATCGTCATCATCACTGATGACGTCATCAGTGACGTCACTGATGGCCTCACCGGCATCCGCATCGTCATCGTCACTGATGACGTCACCGGCTTCCGCATCGTCATCGTCATCATCACGGATGACTTCATCAGTGACGTCACTGATGACGTCACCGACATCCGCATCGTCATCATCGCTGATGACATCATCGGAGTCCGCATCGTCATCGTCACTGATGACATCATCGGCATCGTCACGTGACCCCCCAAGGTCACGTGACCTCCCCAGGTCACTCCACCTCCCCAGTACCCTACCCTCCTCCTCCTCAAGAGCTGCGCTCTAATTCGGTGTTACAGGGAGTTGTAAACGGCTTTCACTTTTTCTAAAGGCACCCCCTTAATTCGCAACAAATTCTCTATTCTCAATGCCCCCCCCCCCCCCTTCCCTGTACCCCCTCCCCTCCCCTTAATAATTTGACACCCCCCCCCCCCCCCCCCCCCTAATTTCAATTCCTGGGGAAACCCCTGCTGATAGATGTAGCTGCTTGTACCAAGCTGGTACTGGCATTTTAGATATTGATATAGCAAAGATGTACTGCTGATACGAAAAAGATCTTAAAGTTGCTCTCATTGCTGCGTCACACAACATATTCGGCTGCATTCAATTTATTTGACTGATGGATGGACGAACAGTCTATGCGAACATGGACTGTTCATTCAAGGCTTCATAATTATGAAACATCTTGATTGTAGCGCAAGATTCTGCAAACGATAGCCGACGCTGTGTGTGTCGTGGATGTGTCGGGCTGTCAGCTCGTTTAACTGCACTCCATGTGTGCACTGCAGTCTATTTTCTTTGGAATTTGGAAGAATAGTGCTGTGAAGAGGGCTTGGCATACGACACCCTCGAAGCCCATGGCTCAAGCAAGGGGCTTGGTATAGCGTCTCTTCCGCACATATTGTCACACAAACGAGACGGTAGACAAAGCCACACATGTGGAAGTAGCTTCAAGCTTCGTAGTCGGGCATAAAAGAAAAAAAAAAAAATAACCTGTTGCTGAATAAAAAGTGCAGTTTATGTTATGACAATGGGGCACTTAAAGGGCAGCTCCGCCGTCAATTTGAGCGTTTTTATCAAAACATATTTTCGGAAAGTGTACTAAAAATTTAGCCTATAGCAGCGGTTAAATCATGAAAAAACTGTTTACATAATTTATAATCGTTAAAATATGCTGAAACCGATACCGAAACTAACTTGCCACTCGACTGGTCCGCCATTTTGACGTAACGTCACATATGGTATAAACACTTGCAATTGTGCAGTTTGAGCCTGGCCAGCCTGGCAGCAGGTGACTGTTTTGTGTTCGTGCCGCGGATAAAAATGGACTCATCAGGCTCGTCTGAATCGAGCAACGATGAGGATATGCTGCTAGATGTTGAGGACGATGACGATAACCCGTTCTCATACGATCCGCCGGCATCGCCTCCGAGAAAACCGCCAGCGGCGGCTGCATTCGTGATCCGCCGCCATGTGGACCCAGATGCCGCTTTTGTTGCTAGCACGCCAATAAAAACTGATCGACGTTATGCCTTTTAATTGGAGGCACTTTTTGTTATATCTTGGGGTCTGACAATAGACGGTTTTAGTAGTCCGTGTTTTCAAGCGACGCTTCCACACACAACACCCAATTTCCTCCAGTCGCCATTACGCGCTCTTACATAACTGTATAAACTGATAACATAAGCAAAAAGCAGACAGTCGCTAGCACCAACTAGCTGCAAAGCAAGCCCCCTGACCAACATGTGACGTCACGGCAATGTCAGCGCCATCATGGCAGCCTCTGTGGGCCGCTCTTGCTCAGTGTTTCCAGTAGGGCTGCAGCAAGTGATTTGGGTGTGTACATGTAAATTTCAAAATTCATTTTCTCCTAAAAAAAATAATTTTCCGAGATATTTTGTACACATGCTCAGGAAGGGGATCCAAATACATAGTGAAACTTTTATAGAAATCGGTGACCATCAAAATTACGGCGGAGATGCCCTTTAAGAAGAAAATGACTGCTTTAGGAATAAAGATAGTTTGGCTTAACTTGAGCATAATGACTTTCATGCGAACGAGACATTAGACAAATCCAAGCACTCGTGCGAGTTGCTTCGACGATGTTGCAGACGAGGCAGACTTTGGGCTCTTTCTGCGACCGACAAGGTTGTCTGCTGCGGTTCACAGGCGCAGCTGCGGGAGGCCCAGGAAGGCCAGGAATTCCTGCAGGCGGAGCGGGCAACCCTGGTGGAGGCACAGCTGGAGGCCCAGGCCCAGGCGCAGCGGCTCAGGGAGGCCCTCGACCAGAACCTGAGGGAGGCACTCTGTTGCGAACGCCCTGCCGCACGCACACCCGCCAAGAGGTGATGTCCGTTGGGTGGCATCTGTCCTGCGCGTGTTTTTTTTGCTCGTCCTCGTTTCTTGCAATACTTGTTTTTGTAGTGTTAGTACACCTTGTTGGTAACCTTTCCGTTATGCTCGAGGATTGCCAACAGCCCACAATGGCGAGCGGTCGCATGGTATAACATCACACCTCTCTGATTGGCACATTTGGCCAGGAGCCCAATTCTTTCGGAGCAGCTGTGCTACGCAGCTCGAGTGGTTACGGTATCCCAACTGCCATTGCGCCGACCGAGGTTTGAGCCCTGCTGGGGTGTCTTTCTTATGTTGAGTTTAAGTCGGTTTTTGTAAGCTGTATAAATAACCTTAAAGGGGGGGTGCAACAATTTCCGGGCTTCGGTCAAAGATTTCTGGAAGTTGCCCTCTGACACTTCTGAACTAAAACCCGATTTCGCCTGCGTGTCCTAGTTGTTGCGTAAAAAAAAGATAAATCTTGGCATTTCGGGCACCCCTCAACTCACTCCCAGCCTTCAGGGTCACACCTGGTCCCCCTCCTAGTGACGTCATTCGGAGTGCTGTGTAGGTTCCCGTGTGCTATCTCGGAGGACGCTTCCTCTCCCTCTCTCTGCTGACATTAGCGGGCGTTATGCTGCAGCTTAGAGCCAAGCGAGGTCATGTAATCTTTTCGCCGTAGTTCCTTCGGCTGCCACTTAGGGCTGCAGGTGGGGGAAAAAGCTAGACTTTTGCTTTGCAATTATGCAGCGGAATCACAACATTTTCAATGAAGGAGGTGTTTTCTTTATCCTCCGGGACACGATAAACAACGTAAAAATGACGAGATGCAAATTCTTTTAATCATAAAATCGTTGCACCGCCCCTTTAAAGTCACGTGTTGCTCTCAACGTGTCGCTCATTCCTGGCACTCATTCGTGTCTGTCTTTTATAACTCTTGTTCCTGACACTCATCCACGACTCTCGTTCCTGAAACTTTTCTCCTAGAAAACAACTCGTAAAACAGATGCCGCTTTAAAATTTGAATTCTTGCACTGAGAAGTCAGCATTTCTTGCGCTTGTGAACTAGGTGGGGTGCTCTATCAAGAAGAGGTTATTTTTCAGCTTTGTGCTCGAATCTGCTGCAAAAAAACTACACCCTTGTTTTTGTCTTGGGGAGAGGTGGCTTCTACATGATGCCAGCAGGTTGTGAAGGAAGTACACTCGACAAAACTAAAATGGTAGTGCATCGAGAAAATCGCTCGAAAATTATTCAGTATTTTTCTAAACCACCTTTTGATGTAAAGTTGGAATTGAACATGGAGACCTTTGAATTTAAGAAGCTCAGAAGACTTCCACATCTCTCTATTAATATTATATATAGGCTGTGGAGTTCCAATTTTCTTTTGCCTCATGGTGGTTGGATGCATGTTTGATTCATCATTGAGCCGCTTTCATCTTCAGCTAGAAAATGCCTCATAAAACATGTGTGAGTAATCGCCTCCATCATAACAGACCACTCAAAAAATGCAGAGGATGGCGAGACCCGCTCATTTTACACCAATAAGACTGCGGCATCAGCTGGTAAGAGCGCCGAGGAATGAACCGTCGAGATGAGCCATGTGCTGCATATCTTAAGCTGTCCCATCTGTAGCCCCCTAGAAAGCTGGGCAGTAGCAGTACGGTGCCTGGAAACACATTTCCAACTGGTGTGTTTGATCTCCTATTCTGCCTGCACATTGAAAGTGGTCCCAAAATGGCAGCTAATAACGTCGTCACAAAAGCCAGTGTGTTGTGCTGCTGGACGGGCGGCTGGCCGTAGAAGTGCCAACAAAAGGCACGAACAAATGCGAGTTGCCGTCGTCGCCCTGTCACAACTCCCAGCTGTTGAAGCTTCCGTGGACTGTCGAGCTGGAGAGCAACCTACAGCAGAATGGGCACCTGCCACATTCACCACTGCTGCTGTGACGCCGCCAGGATCGCGGCCAGCAACGGCATGACACTTTTACGACATCATCGGGCAGAAGTTGAGGGTCCGCTTTTTGGACGCGGTACACACAACAGTTGGAGGCGCGTTCCAGGCACCATAGTAACAGTGTGTGTGCATGCACTGAGAGTTTCTGCCTGCACGAGATTCTCCCATGTTCTCCGCAGCTTGGGCCAGCCAGAGGAAGGTCCCCAGGCGGCGCTGTCAACGCTGTCCCATTCCCTGCACAGCCTGCAGCAGGCACTGGCACTCTTCGGGACGTCGCACCTGCAGATGGAGCCTCAGGCACGTGGACGCTTGGCCCTCAGATTCGGGTAGCAGCGCCGTAAAAGTTTGCCTTAGAAAGTAATACAGCTACAGATCCAATCAATCTGCGCTCGAATGTAGTTCAAAATGCAATTTCATTTTTATGTGTGTATCTACTAGTTAGGTTTGAACCTAAAACTGTGTCAAAATATGTTCTGAAAGAGTGTTGAAGCTGCGAAATCACTTTGTTCTTAAAAAAGCCACTCTATTGAATTTGAAAAAAAAAAAAAAAGTTTAAAAATAATGCGTGACCTGTGCATCAGTTGAACTAATGAACATTCCTCCATCATAATTTTTTTTTGCACAAGACATCAAAATATTTTGTGCAGTCTTGCTTAAATGAAATGTTTTAGAAAATTCTTATCTATATATGCTTATTTCGAATCCTGGCTCTTCATTAAATAACCCGCATACGTTTATTTGCTCGTCGGGATTAATCTGCTAACGTAAAACAGATGGGTAACTTCGATTTCCCGGGGAGCCTTTTCTTCAGTCCTTGAAATATGTCACTATTAGTACAAAAGAAATATTTGTTATCTCTGCAAGATGGTGATGTACACCGGACTTGATAAGCGAAGTCGGAGCATCAGGTATGACTTCAACTGCGGCGCCATGATGACGTCACGCATTCAAGTCGACAGGCGACATAAGACGTCTAATATTTTGCTCAAATAATTGTAAGATGGCCGACCTCTCTGAGCTTCGTGTCGCCTATTGTGTAGAGGTCGGCTTTTATGTTTCGAGCTGTACACCGACACCAGATGTTGCTTGCATTGTTGTATGTCGTGCTATAGAGGAGAGTTTAAAGGATCTGTTTGCAACCATGATAGGCTGAGCCACGTCTTGAAATGACCTTGGAATGACAGGCCGCGAATGCAACGAATGTGTCTTCGCTTCAACCGCAAAAATGCTGTTCTGCTCTCATAAAAATGGTGAAGGGGCTGTAAATGCAAGCTAAATGAGTTGCCTTTGTGTACTTGGGGAGTGTCATGTCTGGTTTCTGCTGAAGAAGATGGTGGTAAAAGAAGGTTTAAAGAAAAAACACATCCTAGGAGTTCATCTGCAAAAATATACATGTCCATGAAACTGTCAAACCAGATATGTTGGTTACCAAGATATTTGGTGCGTCCCTTCCCGCTGCATGCTTCACGAAGTTCTGTGTCCGAATCCCCTGGGGAGTCTCTTTTTATTTTTTTGCTTTACTAAATGTCTTATTCTAGTCTTGATGCACACTCGCACCCCACAACCAGCTTTCACAATTAATGCAAGCCACAGAACGACCAGCAGCGTGGTTTGCACGGTTATTGAACGACAGAAGATCCAGACATTGTTGCGCTTTTAAATGCACCTGTTGAAAAAGAATGTAAGGGACCACCAAATGCAAATAAATCCTCTAGATGGACTGACTGTTTTAACAGTAGCGTACATCAGGTCCTTGGCAGAATTCATGTGGCGATCATTCTAAATTTGGTATTAGGAGACTGAACAAGGTTGAATCAATTTTTACATAGCGTGACGTTTTCTTGCTCATGCTGCCAAAGAGTGTCGCACGGTTGTTTCAGACAGGCCAAAAAGCATTAATTTCCAACGCGGTTTTTCGCCATAACACTTGGGAACCAACATCTGTGTGCTTTAACAAATATAAGAAAGTTAAGATATTTAAAGGGGTTGTGTTCACAACCCCTTTAAAAAAAACTGAAAAAAAAAAAAAAGTTCTTTACAGTGGTGGTGTTAAGGGCTACGTTCCCCAGGATCGTGTCCGGTAGGTCGACACAAACCTACCTGGACAGCTACCGCCATCTATAAGCGACAGTGGCAAGCACACAACCAGTCCACTTGCCGCCGTCGCTCATAGATGGCGGCAACTTTTTCAGCTATCGTAGAGGAATGGATAGTTGGGCACGTTGGTGGGAATTCATCGTAGGAAACGGCACGAAAAACAGACGACGACAAAGAAGAAGCACACGTAACGAGCGCAGCACTTGTCTCGTGTGTTTCTTTGTCCTCGTCTGTCTTGCGCGCTGTTTCCTACGCTCTTATCAGTTTCGGTTTGGACTTAGGATGGGTCGGCCGCGAGCCCTTTCGGGGAAAGAAGACTGGGGAGCGGCGACGTACGCAGCAGCGCGAATGGCAACCGCTGCAAAGCTGCTGTCGCCTCTACTTCCACTGCGTGAAGCGCTTCGGATTCCGTTGCCATAGAAGAGCACATCGCTCGCCTAGAAAGCCTCCGCCGAAAACAGAACCAGCGATGTAAACGGCGCCGGCAGGCCAACGCCACGGACGACGATCGTGCCACGGAGGCCAAGCGCAAGCGCGAGGCTTGGCGACGACTGCACTCTATGCGGGCTGTAAAGTTCCCGGACGTGGCGGCGAGGATTCGGAGGGAGTTCGTGGATTACCCATTTGGCGTCACGTGCACTGCGTGCGCGTCATGGGACTCTGGTTTGCCGGAGACATATCCACGATCGGCGACCTGTCGCACGAAAAGAAACGGGAAACGGGCGCGCGTGCATAGCGACAGTGTATCGAGTACAGCTTCGTTGATCCTCCTTCTTCACGAGAGTGGAAAAGCTGAACGTTTTTTTAAACTGTTTTTTTGGAGTGTCAAAAAATTAATTTTATACGAAAAAAAAGTTTTTTTTTAGGAATATTGACGGCATTGTTTTGAGCTACCCCAACTAACTATATTTTCAGAATCTCTAGACTTTACCCTTTCCGGTCAGCCATTTAGTATTGTGAAATTCAGAATAGTTACTGTAAAATTGGCAAGAGAGAATGATGCCAAGATCACCATTCAAATATACCCATGCTTTTCAGTGCTGCGACGTCAGGGGAAGGCAGGCTTGCAGGCTCGCCGAGCAGTCTAAAAATGGGCTATGCCGAGCATTTGTTTCGTGCTGCTGTGCGGGTGCGCGTGCTTCCAAAGTATTCATTTGACACCACGAAACTGCTTTTAATCAGTTGAGAATGCAGTCTACAGTCCAAGGAGTGAACCCCTTTCTTCTGCTGATGTCACTTTTTCATTGTTGCTTTTAAAAACTTTCACTTTGAAAAATTCTCAATTTAATAACTTTGCGAAAACAAAATTATTTTAACCCAATATTTGGGTTACTATTTCAGCTATGTTTGTTGGTATGTGTAGCATATTTTGAGGTAAGTCCGGGACTTGGAAGAAAACACCAAGGTACACCTTTAAGGATGATGGCAATCTGAAACTTCTCTATCCCCGCCCAGATGCTTGAAGACCTGGAGGAGGTCCCCAAGCAGAGTGCGCCGCGGGAGGAAGTCCCAAAAGAGGACCCCGTCCCCGACGACAGTCCTCCCCCTCTGCCGTTCAAGGGATCCCTGGTGCGCGCTGTGCTTAGCGCCCAGCAGCCGGGCCCCCCAGTGGGAGAGGCGAGGGGGGAGGGCAAGCCCGTGGGCACGGTGCCCCCTTTCCGCACAGTGGAGGCCAGGGCCCCTGACCGGCTCTTGCCTGCCCTGGCGGCCCTGGCCGCACGCCTGGTGCGCCTCCAGGCCAGGGTGCAGGCACGTGCCCTAGACCAGCTGGCCAGCAGCAGAGCGCACCGGTGAGCAGCATTTTTCAACCCTTCAACAAGCTGTATAGAACAGAAGATTGTCATTCGAAAAGGGTTCTCCTTCGTTTCCTGCCTGCGAGTGGGTTCGGGCAGATAATGTTCCTAGTGCCACCTGTGGGAACACCTCCACGAGCAGTAGAGGAGAACCGTTTTCAAATGACGCTGTTTAGCGCAAACTTCTGCTCAAGCTTTGTTTATCATCAAAAGCACAATAGAATCAGCTTGCATTGCAGGCAAGGTGCATCCAACGCCCCACCTGTTCCGTCGCTTGTGTCGATAGAGTGTCACGATAGTGTAGCAAGCGCCACCGAGCGGACGCACTGCAAAAAGGCGCCAGGAGTTCTAGGAAGCCTGTCACCGGCTTTTGATTGTGTAACGTTGGCAGTAAGCACGGGCATCCCTCTACTCTGGAGCGAGGGCGGAAGTGGTCTGGTCAGGCGATCGAACACAATGTATGAACGCTGTAGCCAACTCGTTCTAGACGGGCAATTGTCTAAATTTGTTTAGAAGACACTAAACAGTCATTTTGGGTAAAACCGCTAAGCAAAATTCACGCTTTGCGTTTCTTACAAGTACTAACAATCGCCGTTGTGCAAGCGCATGATACATGTTCCATAAGCAAGTGCTGTGGTCACCTTTTGCTTCCAAGGGCCGTATGCGGTGTGCGCTTGGTGCATTGGCGCATTTGTCGCTACTAAGACGAACGCAGATGCAACAGGGGGCTCCAGTTTCAAGGAGTGAAGAGCTTATTGTTTGTCGATGGACGTCACGTGACATTACGGTGTCAAGTCGTGTTATGTCATGATTTAACGTTGCGTGATGTAACCACATGTGGCATTATGCGATGTCATGTTACGTTACCGTATGTGATGTCACGTCACATTAAATTTACGTCATGTTACGTTACATTACGTGTTGTCAGTGTCGCATGATCTTATGTACGGCCACAAAACGGTTGTGCTGATATTCTCTACTGTGGGGTATGTGCAAACGCACAATTGGACAAGTTTTAGGGAGTAGTTATTTTTTTTAAAGCTTTCTATGCTCCAAAAAATATGTTATGAACATTTTTAAGTTGTATAGTATTTTTATGACCTGAAAGGGCCACGGCGCAGGCCTAAATCACGAGTTTCTCGGGGCCAGGACTGGCTCCGGCTTGCCTGTTGCCTTTTAAATCCTTCCATTTTCTTTTTTTTCTCTGTATGGTGATGACGACGATGGTGCATGTGCAGAGAGTCCCTGGAGCAGCGACTGGGAAGCGTGTGCCGGGACCATGCGGGGTGCGGCCATCTCGGGCAGCAGCTCTCCATGAGCCAGGCACAGGTGCAGGCACTGGAGGCACGCCTACTCGAGCTCAGGGAGGCACACGCCAGGCAGGTCGAGGTGGGTGCCTTGTTTGCACTGTTGGTTACAATTCCTCCATAAAACAAAATGCCATTGTTTTTTTCTTTTCTTAATTTTAATTTTAAACATTGTAAATTTTTTTTAACTAAACTGTTCACTTACAGTAGAACCTCATCAATACGGTTTCTAGGGGACCGGGGAAATAAAATGTACTATTCGGGGAAACGTAAGGAACGAGAAGGCCATTTGGGAGAGCTAGAGATGAGACGGAGGGCAGCTGCTATGAAGCAATTTATTTCACACAAACATTCGTAGGTGTGATCTCAAGTATGTTGGGAAAAAGTTTGTAAACTATTGTCAATGTGAATTCGAATATGTTCGGAAAAAGCTTGTAATTTCCACCTGGTGCTTTGGGTGACTGAAGCACGGACGAGCGACCGATTCCTCTGCTTGCGGAGGGGCATTTGCCGATGTTCTTGTCGGTTCATCCCCACGCAGTCCCGCACAGCGCTTCAGTCTACCAAAGCCACAAAAAAAGTCCCGCTGGATGACAGGGGTCAGTGCATGTGCAGGAGAGCCTGTGGTGTGCCAAACGAGTTTTGAGAGAAGCTTTTTTTCCACAAATCCGGAGGAGTACCAGAACCATGCAGCGCATCAGCCTTGTGGAGTACACGCAGCCTCTCGTGTGTGGAACCAAGAACCCCGCGACAACGCAGACCAGCAAGCTAACAAAAACGGAGCAAAGCACAGTAATGCACCATCGTCGTGTTGCTCATTAAAAAAAAAAAAAAGTTGGATTAAATGCGTTTGAAGTAAAAAGTCTGCGAGTGAAAAAGTGCAGAAGTGCTTCGCTTTTTCGGTTTGTGCTTTTTACGGATTTTTGGCTAGGGTTCAGAAAAGCGTCTTCTGTGGCAACAGCACACTTTATTTTGACAAGCAAAACAGATAGTGCATTGTTCTCTTTTCTCCATCTCGTCCGTTCGCTGGTTTGTCTTGTCAGTCAATTCTTGGTTCCACGCGTGAAGAAAACTCCAGGAATTGTTCCCGGTTAGCACGGCATGCTCCGGTGCTCCTCCAGGTCCGTGTTGAGAAGCTTATGTTAAAACTCGTCTAGCATGCTGCACTCTGTCCTGCACATCCATCCAGCCTTTCATTCAGCAAGACCAAGATGCAACGAGGTTGGGCAAGAGATCTTTTTGCACCCGTGGTATATCGACGTGTTGCACGCGAGTGCGTGGGGACGAGGACACGGACAAACGCCCCTTCGCAAGCCCAATACTGTCGCTTCTACTCTGACCCTCCTCTAGCAAGACCACACTTCTGTTATGCTTTGGGTTGGTCAAGATAGTGGCGCTCCGCGCTAAGCCTCTCCCAATATTCTGCCTTGCACGGCACATGAAAGCAGCGCTAAACAATTCTTTTCCATATTAATGCAATGGCGCCGTGACCATGGCGGAAAACATCGCATTAGCTTTTGGACGACGGCGACACTGTGCAGTCGCTAAGTGGTTTGGTCCCAATCCTTGCCGTCCCTTGTCTCCCCCTCCGTGTGAATGTGCTTGGGAGGCGGACGATCCGCGGATGTGTCATCACGGAATCCATCCGCGAATCGGTCGGTGCTCTGTTGGCGGCTTTTTGGACGCAAGAACCCGGAAAGCAAATGCACTAAGCAGGAAATTAAAACGTGTTCCTATGCAAGATCGGCGATACCAACGCTTCTCAACATAAGAACCGAGAACGTATCAAAGAGGTTTTACTCTAATTCGGCCGCGTGCCCTCTCAGGTCGGCTCCCGTAGCAAGCTGCTGCTGCAGCAGCTGGATGGAGGACATCCATACATTCATACATAGAAATAAACTACCATATTTTCCGGTGTATACATTGCAGTTTCTTTCTACAAAATTTCTGTCACTGCGTCTTGGAAATGTTGTGACACATACATATGCTTTTTTTCTTTTTATGTATAGACCTTAACTGCACACGTTTGCCGAAGGGGTTATGTTTCTTGTTCGATTCGCTGGCACGAATATTGAAGCACTCCCACTTAAGCGCATGTTACGATCACAGTATACAGGGTGTTTTTACTTATTCTTTCAGATTTGTTTAAAAAAACCCGTGAAAGATACACTTATGCGGTTTGTGCAGGTGAGTTATACGGCCAAGAGCATATAGTATAGGGAGATAGTCGCAGCTATTAGTCAACTAATTAAGTAAAATTTGTAAATTAAATTTTTAATTAGTGCAAGTAGGCATAAAGTTCCAATTAGAAACTTGCTGCGCGTCATCGAAAACCATTAAATCAACTATTCTTAAAACGTTATAACGCCGGGGCAGCATTTTGACGGCGTGAACGCTCTATTTGGACGCGTTTCTAGATTTCGGTTTCTTATCAGAGCACATCTTTGCGCCCGCGGTCCTGCTCCCTGGTGGTCGCGGCGCAAAGCCACCCCCCCGCCTACCTCGTAGAATGGAGGGAAGTAGGGCGGATGTGTGTCGCGCGTCGCAGCCACTGGGGAGCAGGACTGCGGGCGCGTAGATGCGCTTCAATAAGAAATCGAAATCTAGAAACGCATCCAAATGGAGCATTTTAACAGAACGCCGTAAAATGCTGCCCCGGCATTATATCCTTCTAAAACGAGTTGATTCAAAGGTTTTTGATCATGCTCAGCAAGTTTCTAATTGGAACTATATGTCTATTTGGATTAATTAAAAAGTTAATTAGCAAATTTTACTTAATTAGCCGAATAATAGTTGCGACTATCTCCCTATACTAGTATGTACTCTTGGCTATATAACTCACCTGCACAAACCGCATAAGTGTAGCTTTCACAACTTTTTTTTAAACAAATCTAAAAGAAAAAGGAAAAACAGCTTGTGTTTACACGGGCTTATCATTGCAGTTTGGCCGCCCCGACTATACCGTAAAATTCCGAAAGAACGCCCACCCTAAATTAAGAGATAAATGGTGAAAAACATGGGGTGGGCGAAGTTTCGGGCCAAGGGCCAAAAACTACAAAAAAAATGGCTGCATTTGACAGATCAGCGGTGCATACGCATTTATTGCTCACTCGTCATCGCTAAATCCATCGAACGACTCATCGCTGTCGCTGTCAAAGACGAGTTGCACTACTTCGTCCACTATGCTCTCCCGAGCTTCGGGCCCCATCGCTGGTTCGTCGCTTACAGAGGCCAGGCGGTGGTTCAACTCCCCGTCTTCTGAGCCGTCGAGGCGTGTTGAGATGCCGCAGCGCTTGAACGACGTCAGGACGGCCTCCTCCGATAGAGATGCCCAAGCCTCGGACACGAAGCTGACGACATCCTGACGCGACGGCTTCTTGAGGTTCCCTTTGGCGGTGACAGCCCCTTCCCGCAAGAAGGAGGACCAACGATTCCTGAGAGCATCTTTGAAGGGCTTCATCCAGCACACGTCTGCTGGCTGGAGAATAGACGTGCACCCGCCAGGAATGAAGACAACGTCGGTTTCCTTCCCGTCGAGGGCCTCCCGCGCTGCCTCTGTCTTGTGAATGGGCGCCTGGTCCAAGACGAGCAGCCGCCTCACGTCGTCTTTGTTGGCACCCCACACCCTCCGCACCCATTCGAGGAAGACCGGCGTAGTCATCCATCCGTTCCTTGAACAGGTCACTCTCACATTTTCTGAAAGGAGCCGAGATTCGGTTTCATTCCAAACTCCGGCAAAGCCAACCACCAACAACCGGAGCAGCCGCAAACACGAAAGCATCGCCGCATCGCTGCGTAGTATTGACGGTATTGATGAAAAAACAAAACTTGTGACGAACCCATGCAGCGCCCTCTACTAGAAATGCACAAATACATGTGGAAGGCGCTTTTTATATCGTTCACAAAACAACGCTGTCCTAAAACTTTTTTTCTTTTTTTTATGCGAAAGGCGTGACTGCATGTTTTCAACTTATTTTTATGCTGAAATTTGTTTGGGCAAACCAGAAGTAACATTGGCCGCACGCGGAAATTGAGACAATACCTGGGATTTGAAGTGCGAACAGTGCCCTTGGCGGGATCCGGCCCGTCGGTTCCTTGAGCACGATGAGAGCCGGGAGTTTGATGCCCGCAGCTGTTGCACAGAGTGCAACCGTCAGTCCACGACGCGCCCAGCCTGTGTTCACGATGCGGATGCTTGATTCGCCGGCAACGTTGTTTGTCCGCTTGGCTGGGCAGTCCATGCGTACCATGGTTTGGTCCATGTTGGCTATACTAAAGTTGGAGTAACTGTGCTCCAGGCGCAGGCTTCCCACAGCCCTCCGGAAGACGGAGATTGCGTCAGCGTAGTCAGCCGGCAGCTTCTGACTCTCGTTCGTCCCCACTCGCATCGACACATTGAAGCGGGCTTTCCAGCGGGCCAGGTAGTGGTTCGAAGCTTCGAAGTTGCCCAGGTTCATCTGAACCGCCAACTTGCGTGCGTGCTCTTGAAGGACGCGGTTGCTCACCGCTCGCCCCGCCGCCCGCTCGGTATCCAAGAAGTCCATGAGTGCTTCATCGAGCTCTTCGCTGAAGACCGGCCGTCCGTTGTTGATGGCTCTCTTGAATTTGTTTTTGCCGTGGCACTGCTGCAGAAGGGACTGGTAGTTGGTGCTCCATTCGCGAACACGTTTCCTGTCCAGCTCAAAATGTCTTGCAGTTTTGCTTACGTTGTCTCCATTCTTCTTGTGCCACTGGACAACTTCCACCTTTCTCTGGATGGTGTAGCTATTCCTCATGGTCGATGCTGGAAGCGAGGGCAGGTGAACAGCTGCGGGGCACGCAGAGGAATGACTGTCTACTAGTGTGGAGTTTGTTTGCTTGAGCTGTTTCTTCTTTTCCTTTGTACCCGGACGTCTTGAATGATTCACTTCTAGTTCGCCCTTATCTTATCAATCTAACCGGAAAAGATCTTCTCTTTTGTTAGAAATCGGGTCACTGGCGGTGTTTGCGGACGAGTCATCGGTTTTTCCAGAGGTATGTTCGCGGCGGGGGCTTCCCGGGCTTTCGAATGCGTCGAAGCTACTGCGATTTTTAGGGGGTGGGCGATGTTTGGGAACTTTATTAAAATATATATTTCGTCCAAAAAGGTGGGTGGGCGAGGTTTCGGGCGGGGGCGTTCTCTCGGAACTTTACGGTATACGAAATAAGAAGTGTGAATTATAAAAAGATTTGATTTATATTCCAACCAAGATCTTTTTTGTGAAAACGGCATTTATAGTGGGGTGCAACTTATAGACATTTTCCATAGGAGCGCCGCCATCTTGAATTGTCGTCACTTCCAGTATGGGCGACGAGAAAATAGTAAAACGTTTCAACCTGTAAATAGTAAAAAAATAAAGGGGAGCCAAAACGAGAATGTGTGACGGTTAGGCTTATATCCTAAACGTCTTCTATTGGCGTGGTGACGGCAAAGTAATGTTTTCGCCCATACTGGAAGTGACGACAATTCAAGATGGCGGCGCCCTTGTGGAAAAGGTCTATACAATGGTGCATTTTATTGATCAGAAAACACGGCATGTTATTTGAGTGTGAAAGAACTCCATGTCATATAAATTGACCCGCTAGGATTCATGCGGGCGCACATTGTGCGGCACCGCGAAAGCAGAAAAGTCTGTCCGGGGACCCCAGGAATGACAAAGCGTGGGTCGTTGGATGCCGACTTGAGCATACACGCGGGTTTGTGTCCAAGGGCCGATAGTGGCGTGCCCCTGAGGGCGGCTCCCATTGCATTGCAGCTGCTGCTGCAGCAGCTGGAGGAGCAGAAGGAGAAGCAGCGCTGCCTGCAGGCGGTGAACCAGGAGCAGGCCAGGCAGCTGCGGGAGGAGCTGCTGCCCCCACAGGGCTTCCTGTGCCAGGCAGACGCCATCTGCGACCGGCTCCAGCTCAGACAGCAGGTGGGCCATTTATTCTCTACTCGTAACGCAATCCACTTAACAAGGGTGCCACGTATGACGATGAATTTCTAGAGGATCGCTAAAGGGTAACTGCAAAGAAAGGAAGTGTTTTTTTAAACAGCCTAATTGGGACAAGCATGTCACAAAACAAATCTTTCGTGAAAAAAAAATTTTTTTAGCAATATTTACGCTACAGGACGTGATTGGAGTCACAACCTCTCCACATTTGAAACTCCCGCTCTTTCGACCCGCCTGGAGGAGGAGTACACCTTGCCCTTGGATTCTCTTGGATTGACTTGGCTGCGGAGTACGCAGTGTCGACTTCAGGTCGCGGATGGGAGGAGGAAGAGGAGGAGGAGGAGGAGGAGGAGGAGGAGGAGGGAGGGATGGAGGGGGAGGGAGGGAGGGAGGGAGGGAGGGAGTTAAGGGAAGGTGCCGTTGATGTACGCTGGAAGCTAGAGCCGGTTTGCTTTCGTTGTATTTGTTTGGTGGGTGAAAATCTTGCAACAACGCACAATCAACATGGCACCGGTATTGTTTTGGTTTGACGGGACGCAAGAAGCCTCCGCGGTTTGCGAGCACATGTAGCGAGGACATGCCCTGAGAAGTGCCTCTGAGATGTTCCCAGGAGACGGAAAGTATCATTTGTAATCGTCGTGTGTGCTTTGAAAGCGAAGGGAGTCACAGGGTCCACGAGTGCACAACCACAAGCCAACGTTCACGACAGTACTGCTTTGACTTCGGCGATCTCATTCTGTTAGGTGCGACACCTCAATGCGACAAAGAACTGAAACGTTCGTGGTGTGTGGTGCGGGGCTTGGAAGTAGAAACCCACACTAACACGGAGCGCAAAATGGTTGTTGTGGGGTTGATATTGAACGGGTTCAGCCCCGTCGTCGTCAGCTTATCTGGTCCAGCTGGTCCGAGAGGACGCAGCGAGCTGTGGTTGCGAGCGTTTTTAAACTTAAATCTTCCTTCGTTTCTTTTCAAAATGTGGAAGATTCCCGACACATAGCGTGAGTAACAAGCTGCGGGGCGTTTTCAACAAAATTATGTTGTTTGAATTGAACAATGGACTCCAGATTGTTGTCCTAAATCTGCCGTTTTTATACTTGGTGTTGTTAGACTGCGTTTGCACATTGACGTGTTTGCACAACGACGCATACTGCTCGAGTAGATGATTCAGTCCTGCAAACGACCGGTTATACAGAATTTCAGGGAAACTTAAGTCACCATTGATATTTTCCTGTAAATCTCGTGCGAGTTTGTAGCGCTCATCATGCGGTGTGAATAAATTTGGGCAAGATTTCCTACCTGCCCACAGATGCATGAACTGAGACCATTTTTTACGTAGTGAACATAGTGCTAGTGCTTTTTCTTTATTTTGGGAAGAGGCGTTGGTGCATTTATTATGGTACAATCACTTGAGAGTTCAGAAATTGGGGAAGGTGACCAAGCTTTCCGAACAGTCTCTCTCCTCTCTGGCACTGCCCCAAGTTGCAGTTTCAGTAGGCATACCTACTAGCAGGGACAAACTGCTCTAAAGCAGGTAAAAGATTGGGAAGTCAGGACGGTGCAAACTCCATGTTTCGCAAGATGACTGGGGAAGTTCTTTTGCGAGGTATGCGAAATATGCAAACAATTTTGTTATGCCCGTCGTTAGCGTCTCTCCAGCAAGACGAATAAGATGATCTACAAAGGCGTTATCCCAAGCTAAGATTTACGATAACAGTACACATTCAAATGAAACAACTTAACGTAAAATGGTTCGGAAGCCAAGAAAAAAAATTAAAAAATCTGTCTATAGCAGAATTTGGACGTCCGAAGGCTTCTGCGGAAGGGTGTTACGTGATAATCGGGTTTTTTACGTATCAGCTGTGTCTCAGTCGCGGACATTTGGTGCACCCGGTGCGAATCCCAAAATGACGAGAACATACCTGGCCTCGTTTGTCGTTATGCAAATGCCCGATTGCCCGCAGCCAAATAGCATTCAGCTTGTGATCTTTCGGGGCAACATGGCTGCTGGAAGCCTCGCTGTCATGATCACTCATTTCGCAGCACTTTACAGAAGAACAGCCCCGCTTTACAGGAGGTGGCATCTCCAAAAAGTCGGCATTTGCACGCGCAAGTGAAAAAAAAAAAAAAAAAAAAAGCACGCTAAGAAAGCAAAGCGGAAAACAAAAGTAACAAACCGGGCTATGAAAGCCAAAACCCCGCGTCGCTTCCTATCACTAACACTGCGATAGCCCTAAACACACACTACTTCACTTCAGGAAGTCTCACTCAAGCACCTGGATCAACACAAAACACTGATCGCTTCGGCGAAACGACTAGTCGAGGTAGGCGAGACAGGCGGGAGTAGAGACATCGGCGGCCATGAAAGAATGGCGAAGCTTTTGTTTGTTATGGTATGAATGCAAATGGAAGAGCCCTTCTTGAAAACCTTTTCTAAAAAATAATAACTCTCATTGCATGGGTTATTCTTGAAACGTAAAAATATGCCGCTCAAAAGGAATTTGCAACATATAACAAAGGTTTAACAACCAAGATCGAAGCTGTCAATCAAACTCTTAGCCAATGATGAGTATGGCAGCCAATTGGTGCTAAACGTCACGGAACACCAACTTTGTGGTGCGTGATTAAAAACGGACGAAATAGCCGCAAACTAAAATCAGTCTCACACAATAAATATTGCTCTAAAAATTGTTTTTTCTTGCGGAAAAATTGTTTTTTGACATGCTTGTCTAAATTAGGCTGTTTAAAAAAAATATATATTTTTATTGCAGTTACCCTTTACGTTTTGCATTGGGGGTCAGAGTGAAAGCAAAACCACGTATAAAGCGACAAAGTACCTTAAGCGTACGGTCACAGATAACTGGCGACGACAGAGGGATGAACTGAGAAGACTGAAGGTGTAACGTGGCAGACTTGCGCCGAAACAAAGTGCAATAATTGATATTGGGCTCTTTGTTTCTGGCGTAACGGCGAGGCTCAGCATTAGCATGAAGGTCCGTTCATGTAGCACCGTTTGCTTACACTGCGTAACGTTACGGGAGCTTACGTTAGTCACCAGGACCTGTGTACTCTGTGTGAAGCATGGCAACCAATTGAAGGTGTGACATTACACGCGACTTTCGAAATATGGATGTTCCGGTGATTCATAACTGGGATTCCGTGTTTTTGGAGTTAATTTCTCTCGAAGTTTGGAGGGTGTTTCTCGGAGTTTATTTTTCGCTGAAAATTGGGCGTTTATCAGTTTATTTTTGTTAGATTCCCAATTCTTCGAAATTGAAAGTTTATTCTACTGTGTTCTTATATTTTTAAAGATGGGTGATTTCAGATAAGATCGACCAAAGGATGGCTAGTCGACATTTTCAAATCAACTGATGTTTTTATATGTTATTGTCTAGTGTCTGGTATCAACGAATCCAAACTTAGTTTTGACTAGAAAAAATACTTGGGGACAGGAAAAATCGTAAGGCATGAGGTGGTGGACAGTTGCATTAACGCGCACTGATGGAGGGGGCCCGTTTGAGAGTGAATAACTAAAGCGATAACATTAGGAGAACTGTAATACGTTTTAGGCGCAAACTATGGGTATAGCTTGCTTGTAATATAAAGTAATCATATTTATTTAAAATTTATTTATTTTTCTAAAAATTGACAAACATGCCTGCTCGAACGACAAATGGCAAACTTTGGAGGTCTGTATCTCATGAAATAATTTAATCATTATGTTATAATTTGCAGATATTATTCTACTAATATATAGCTAATATTTAAAAAATAACTAAGGTATCTGTGTGATACAATAGTTAGGATATATTTAGTCAAACATGGAAAAAAAATCAAACAAAGAAAAATTCCGATGCGAATAAAAAAAAAAACACCACCCTCGATTTTTTTTAAATTTAGGTAACCTGTTATACTCTATTTCGGCATTCATTTCCATTAAAAACATGTTGCATCATTTTATTGAGAAAGAAGATACAACTCCCCAAAGTAGGGTCCTTTTTCAAAGCCTACACTTAGCAGTGTTTTATACAAGAACTGACTCTGAGTTCCAGTTTCATGAAACCAACACACATCTTTTATATATTTTTATTCAGATGAGGCCAATGACAACTAAAGAAATCGTTCACACACTTAAATTAAGGAGAAACTACTGTGTACAAAGAGGTATCATATTACGGACTAGTGATCCGAGAAAAGATCATGCAACCATCGGCCACTAGGAACTTTGTTTACTTTATTCTCCTGCGACACTATATGCTATTCCCTCTTCCACTCTACCTTCATCTCTCTCTCTCTCTCTCTCATATATATCCCTGATATATATCCAGAACAAAAACATGTTCAAGCATTCCCTTTCTGCGTGGTAGTGTTCTGTGGCTAGCGAAAATCATTTCCTCGCTAAGCTCACGATTATGGCAAAATAGTTGCCGGAAACCGCAGACGACACTCGTCGCTAGTTCTGGCAAAACGGCCGATACAATCTTTTTTTCGCATTTCCCCGCTCGCTGTCAAGGACAAGGGGGTTCGCTTCAACCAGCAAAACATGGCCGCCGACGCCTGTTTACTGAGCAGTCATGCCTGTCGCCATCTCACTCGCTGGCGTCACGGGTGATAATATCAGGCACAAAGGGGCACACCAACCGGCAGCATTATCCCCAAATACTCGAGCCTCGCGTAAATACATAGAGTGTAAACGCTGTCGCCATGTTATCGTAGTAAGACCCCCCCCCCCCCCCCCCCCCCCTCCCCCAACGGGGGACTGCAGTACGCGACGGCGTACTAACACAACGGCGACGATATCGACATCGCAGGCTCCGAATTTTCCCATAGTTCTACTCCACGGGCATTTCTCGAAACGCTTGATATTGTGTACGCCCGCCTGGAAGGATTTCAGGCGCGTAGTTAAGATAAAGGCGGTTCTCCGCGGCAAAAGAAAGCAATTTCACAAAAGCTTAAAAGCGGCGGCGACGCGTGTGCGGTGAACG